AGGAGCATGATCATCCGAAGCCTACGTTTAACGTATGTGGAATTCTGGGACGAGTTGAACAAATTGACCAAGATATTCTCAACAACGGCTACCCAAGCGAAATAATACAAAGAAACATACGGGCTGTGAAAAGCCCATGGCAAAACGGGGACTATGAAAGAACAGTAAGGACGGAGAAGGATTCACAAAGGTGAATACACCTACCTTCCTGCAAACTAAATCAAAAGGAAATGGAATTTTCGGTTGTCCATGAAAGAAAAATCAACACTTCACAATTCTACCGACGCAATATGAAAGGATAGACAAATTTGATTGCTCAGGATTTTACTCTACATCACATATATTGGCGAAACAGGGAGAAAAAAATAGCATACGAATTAAGGAACATCAAAGACTCTGCAGGAAAATGGATACAAAAGGATCAGAATCAGCGGAACACAGCACAGACTGGACACGAACTATATTGGAAGGCACCAGAAAGAAGGGCCTCAAGAAAACGGCAAATAAAGGAGGCCATTGCCATCCTTGGGGAGAACAATTTAATGAACTGGAGACTGGAGGAAGGTAGAGTTAGTGATAACTTCGCCTACTGCTTAGGAAAACTCGATGAAAACAAGAATTCAGAAAGACCAGCAAAAAGGAGACGTCTGGATCAACGATATATCGCTAACCGGAGAAAAAGGGGCGGATTTCCGGCAATCAAACGAAGACGTTGTCAGTGAGTGATGTTTGTTCGAATAATCCACTACAACTTTGGGGGCCTTGCAGTTAGGGAGCTAGGCAGACAGATAAGCAAATCGTCACAGAAACTCGGCGTTATGGCCAAAATGTACTAGAAACCTACTTGAGATGCTGCATGCGACCAGAGATAGGCGCCCACGGGTTGCTCAGGTAACAAGGGTTTAATCAAGGAGACAACCCGTGAAGGCAATGCTTGATATTTGCAAGCATGAGAATTAGCTTAGGTGCTCTGCTCGGTGAGGCGGCAGTGTATGTGCTTATATGACCTTGAGAAATAGATCCTGGAGTTAAACGCACACGGTGACTAGAACCGGGTGAAATCGGTCAAGCAGTAAGATACGAAACGGATTTATGAGACCATGAGGGAGATCCGGATAGGAGGCTCGAGTCGGATTAGCCGATCAAAAGAGAGGGTATCAGGGTGAATAGCAGGTGTGATGAGAGCACCAGATTTGCTACAGAAGAACACGCATTTTGACGAGTGGAATGTAAACAAGTCAGAATTTGTGATAGAGCGACAGTTGGATAAGAGAGTAGAGTTGATGTGCAAGGACAGGAGTGATAGTGCAACCGTTTTCGGCAGAACGTTGGTCGAGGGATTGACTTAGCTTGTCGCTTTGACGAATTCGTAGCTTGGTGTGGAGAATGGTAGCATTCATTGATGATGCCGGCGAAATGTCTGAGAATTTACCAAGCCCACTGTCTGATGTTGAGAATTATTATAACTACTATGGCAGAGGACTTCGGAAAAAGTGTGTTCTTCTAAGTCACCCTGATAACAAGACCAAGTTGCGACAACGAGGTCAATCCACTACTATAAATCGAAAGGAGACTGCGACTATACAGAGGAATACACTATCTTAATCTTCATATCTTCGATAAAAACAGTTTATTTTTACACTGTTGAAAATAGACGATCTGAATATGGTTAGGGAATAAACATACTTTTACAGAGGTTCTCTTTTTGGGTTTATTACGTATATCCTGTAGAGGAAGGATTGGTCGAATTCCTTGTACGATTGGGGACCACGAATTACAATGCCGATTTGTGATCTCAGAGAGAACAGTCCTACTTTCAGATAATAATATGTTTATTTTAGTATTTTCCAATGACTTAAGTCTGTGAAGAATTGCCTAATGTAATATAGCAAAACAAAGTGATCCTTT